TTTAATTGAGTAGTAGTGGGTTTGATTGTGAAGTGGTTTGGAAGCAAGAGGTGTTAAGTTGGTTCCTTTCTTGAGTTGCAAGGTGAGTAATTAAGGAATCTCTCTTTTGTTCTTAGTAATGTTAAATTAGTGGCTTGTGTGAGTAAAAGAGATGGTTTTAGGTGTTATTTCATGACTTTTGGTTGAGATTGGTGAATTTTATATTTATTCTTGATTTTTTCTGTTTTTATATGTTTAGTATTGTGTGCCCATGGATGATGGCTTGGGATAGTCTAGAATGAAGCCATAGTGCGTAAATTGTACCTAATTGCAGAAAATTTCCACTTTGTGCGGAAAATTCCAGATTAGGGTTTCAATTAGCCCCATTCTACCTGGTACTGTTTGGATAGGAAGAAGGCCGAATTAGCCTTAGGTTAAAACATAAAAGTTGTAGGAAATAATTTTTTATAGTTTCCTGTAAACTTTCAACCCAATCTGAGCTCGGTAGCCTGAGAAAAGACAGAAATACCCGGACTGCCGTAGGTAGAGTTCGGTGAACAGGGTTGACATTTCACCCGATCTGGCCGTGTCTGTTTAGCTGGATACGTACTGATTTAACCTTTGGTCAAAACACAAAAGTTGTAGTACTGTGTCTTATCTTTCCAACACCCTTGGAAACGTCTCAATTAGATTTCGGTAGCCTGAGTTATAGTCATTTAACCAGAATACGGTTTGCTAACCTGTTTATGCGGTTCTGGTTTGGTACATTGAAATTTTGACCTAGCTACACTACGAACTGGACTGAGTGGTCTTCAGTAAAGCTGTAGCCCTTTTTCTTAGCTTCGAAACGGTGTAAGTTTCACTTTAATCCGATAAGTGTAGCTTCAGTTGTGTTCATTCCGCTCAGCAACATCAAATCTGCCTTTTGCTTTCCAACCTAAACTTCATTTCCGCACATGCCCTAGTTTGATTTTTGCACTTATACGTTCTATATGGTCTAACTATAGTAGTATGTAGATTCGGTTTATGACTCGTATTAGAGTCTCATTGTGTTTACTTGTATGTTTTAGGGCGTGCCGGTGACGCTAGGCGCTCGTTGGACCGCAATCTGTGAAATCTTTTCCTTGCTTGATTGGTGAGTGTATTACTCACATACTTGTTACTTCATGGCTTCGCTATACTTGAAATCTATGGCTTGAATGCTTGTGTGTACTTATGAGCTTGGTTGAGTTAAGGGTGTACTTTATCACTCTTACACTCAATGGCTTATGTGACTGTTACAGTATCAATTGAATGTCTTTGAATGTACTTGAACTGGTGTCGTTTGGACGTGTATCCAACGACTCTTACTGTTTATTTTGAGCACAACCCCATTGGCGGTCGTTGACTCGAGCCAGCAAGGGCATGATCGAGGAGATTGATAAGCCGTGGGGACTGTTTCTATGGAATCATTGGGTATGAGACCCTTGATTCCGGTATACTCGAGTATTACCATTGTACACTGAATGGAGTTCGGGCCCGGTAGGGGTATGTGAGGTGGAAGGAATCGGTGAAAGTGGAGTCTACGGTATTGGTTACTCCTTAAGCGTTGACGGAGGGTCAACGAGGCGAGATCAAGTACGGCAAGCGAGGGAAAAGGGCTCTTGAGAGCCGCCCGTATCCTTTTATTGAATTTAAATGTAATGTTAGTTCGGATTACTTGTTGAATGTTTGGACTGAGCAACTTTGTGCTTATGTGAACTTTATTGATTTGCATGAGTGTACCTCATTGGGCGAAAACACACTCCATTGCCTTTGTTTTCCTTACAAGGATGTGAATACCTTTGGAAACTGTGAATTTGAAGCCAAGTTGAGCTAGTTGAATATACTTTTGTATATCTCCTTGATGGTTGGGAACCTAAATGTATTTTGTTTTAATACTATCTTTTGAGTTGTAAGTGGGGAACCTTACATGTATAAATGTGATTGGCACGGTTCATGTGCGGCTCCGATATTCCGTTTTCATTTCATGGTTTTGTTTCGTTTGAGCGCGCTATTACCTTCCGGAACGTATTTAACTGCCTCGTAAGTCCTGGCGAGAGTTGGGCGGGCTGTCTGCTGACCCCTTTGGTACGCCTTAGGGGAAAGTAGGGTTGTCACATGAGTAGTACACTCACCAATCAACAAAGAGTGTTTTCACAAATTTCCACCCAACGAGCGCCTTGAGTCACCAGCATGCCCTAAAATATTCAAGAAAACACAATGAGACTCGAATACGAGTCATAACCCAAACCACACACCACTAATGTAAAGCCAAAATAACTTGAAAGTAATACGAAAACGCTTGGTGCAAAAGGTTTAGATAACCCCAAAGTCACTAACTAACACTCTAAGCAACCCAATTCCAAGAAATCATATGGACCTAAAATTTGGACAGCATTTCCCCTTAAAATTTCAGATTTCCATCCTACAATTCATTTTTAATTTTCAACCAACACAACCACAACTACAAGTACAAGTCCTGTGCCATTCAATACACCTTATTAGGGTTACAATACCTTTTAAACAAAGTCAATTCAAGAGTTCCATAATAACCCTAGAAAAGCCCCAATTCAAAACCCTAAATCTGAAATTTGTCGCACAAAGCGGAAATTTTCCGCAAATAACTACAATTAACACACCAAAGCACCACTTTAGACCATACCAAGCCATCATCCATGGCCAACCATCACTTATCATATAAAATCAGAAATTTTACAAACTCCACTTACAATCACCAAATCTTCCACAAAACAACATTTTTAGCTACCACAAGTCATCAATAAGCCATTATTAGAAACAACAATGAAGTTTTACACACCATACCTTGATACCTCAAGAAAGGTAGTAGCTTAGGTCTCTTTCTTCCAACACAACTCCACCAACTTCTAATATCCTACCTAGCAAAGGATTTTTATGGAGTAAATTTGGGATTCTATGTTGGATCACAAGATTGAGCAAGATTGGAAAGAAATAAGTTGAAGGCTTTCTTCTTTTCTCTCCCTAAGAGATTCGGCCAAGATGCTTGAAATGAAGATGATTTTTGGGTCAATTTTTGGTTATTTAGTAAAGGTGGTAAGATGGTCAAAGTCCAAGCTCCAATAAGAAAGTGACACCTAGCACCTTTTAAGCTTAAACTTATCATCTTGTCTCTCCAATACTAATCCATCTAGGTAACCTCTAATTACCTCTTAACACCTAGTAACTTAATCCCTGTATACAAAACTTAACCTAATGGGCCAAATTTTATCGCACTTACCGCACTAGTGGGTCCCACGTCCGGTATGCACTCTTAATTCCTCATGAACTAACTTATACTAGAAAAATGATTTAAAAACTATATTTACTCATAAAAATTATCTAGAAAATTTTTCTAATAAAGAAAATATAGAAAAGGCATGCAATTAAATAAAATAAAGCCTAGAAAATAAGAAAATTTTCGGGTTCTCACACTCTCTCCCCCTTAAAAGAATTTTGTTCTTGAAATTTCTCACCTTAATTCACAAACAATTCAGGGTATTTCTTTTGCATTTCTTCTTCCACCTCCCAGGTAGCCTCTTCTATCCCATGGTTTCTCAACAAGATCTTTACCAAAGGAATTTGTTTGTTTCTCAGCTCCTTAACCTTTCGGTCAAGCAACTGTACAGGTGTCTCTTCGTAGGTGAGTGACTCATCTATCTCAATTTCCTCTGGTTGTAAGATGTGAGACGGGTCAGGATAATACTTCTTAAGTATCGAGACGTGGAAGACGTCGTGAATCCTGGACAGACTTGATGGTAGTTCAAGTCGATACGCTACTTTCCCAATTCTCTGGACAATTTTGAAAGGTCCAACGAACCTCGGTTGAAGTTTCTTTCCCCTACCCGCCGTGACACTTCGTAACGGTGTGACCTTAAGAAAAACACGGTCCCCAATTTCGAACTCCAGATCCTTTCTTCGATTGTCCGCGTAGCTCTTTTGTCGGCTTTGAGCTGTTTGAAGTCTTTGTCGTATCAACTTGACTTTTTCTCGTGCATCCTCCATCCACGGGACGGTTGCTGGATCCAAAATCCTCTTTTCTCCTACTTCATCCCAGTAGATTGGTGATCGGCACTTCCTTCCGTAAAGCGCTTCGTACGGTGCCATTTGGATCGACGAGTGGTAACTATTATTGTAAGCAAACTCCACTAATGTCATATGTTGGCCCCAACTACCCCCGAAATCTAAAATGCAAGTCCGTAACATATCTTCAAGGGTTTGAATGGTTCGCTCCGACTGTCCCCATCCGTCTGGCGATGATAAGTTGTACTAAGATTGAGTTTCGTCCCCAAGGTCTCTTGAAATTTCTGCCAAAACCTAGATACAAAACGAGGGTCTCTATCCGAAACGATGCTCACAGGAACTCCGTGCAATTTTACAATCTCATCCATATACAACCGAGCCAATTTATCCATCGAATACTTCATGTTTATCGGCAAGAAATGGGCCGATTTGGTTAACCGATCGACGATTACCCAAACGGCATCGTGTTCTCGTTGCGTTCGCGGCAAACCTAAAACGAAGTCCATTGTAATGTTTTCCCACTTCCATTCGGGTATCTCAAGAGGTTGTAACAATCCAGATGGTTTTTGATGTTTCGCCTTAACTTGTTGGCAGACAAGACAAGTCTGAACGTATCGGGCAATTTCCTTCTTCATACTGTCCCACCAATACACCATTTTTAAGTCCTGGTACATTTTGTTATTTCCCGGATGAATTGTATACTTCGACCGATGAGCTCCCTCCAAGATTTCATTCTTCAATTCTTCCTTGTTAGGCACCACTATTTGGTTTCAGTATCTCAAAACTCCCTCAGGACCCCAATTGAAATCAGATGATTCTCCTTTATCCGCATTTTCACCCTATTTCAGTACCATTACGTCCTTTTTTTGAGCCTCTTTAATTCACTCCAGAAAGGTGGAGGCCACTCTCACGTTATTAAAAATCACCTTTTGACCTCCAAGACAAGGATTCCATTCACTAACCGATTCTAATAGGCCCCACTCCTTTACCATTAATCCCGCAACTTGAGCCTTTCGACTTAAGGCGTTGGACACCACATTAGTTTTTCCTGGATAGAAGTTAATGGTGCAGTCGTAGTCCTCCAGAAATTCCATCCACCGTCGCTGCCTCATATTCAATTCTTTTTGCGAGAAAAGGTATCTAAGGCTCTTATGGTCCGAGTAAACTTCGAAAGTTACTCCGTATAGATAGTGTCTCCACTTTTTCAGAGCGAAAACAACTGCAGCTAACTCCAGGTCGTGGGTTGGGTAGTTCCGCTCGTGGGGTTTCAATTTCCTAGAGGCAAAAGATATCACATTCTGGTTTTGCATTAGCACACACCCCAGACCTTCCCGCGAAGCGTCAGTATAAACGGTAAAACCGTCTATTCCGTAAGGCAAAGCTAGAATCGGTGCCATGGTTAATCTTTTCTTTAACTCTCGAAAACCTGCTTCACATCTAGCATCCCACATGAAATGACCATTTTTCTTTGTCAGGTCGGTTAAAGGACCGGCAAGCTTGGAAAAGTCCATAATAAAACACCTATAGTACCCAGCCAACCCTAGAAAACTACGAATCTCCGTGGAGTTTTCTGGCCTCTTCCAATCATCCACGGCCTCTACTTTCACCGGGTCAACAGTGATGCCCTCTTGGAAAATTACATGCCCTAAGAAAGAAATTTTCTCCAGCCAAAACTCGCACTTACTAAACTTGGCGTACAACTGATGCTCTCTTAGGGTTTGCAAAACGATTCTTAAATGCTGCTCATGCTCCTCCCGAGTCTTTGAGTAGACCAGAATGTCATCAATAAAGACAACTACAAATCGATCCACGTAGGGCTTAAAAACCCTATGCATTAAATCCATGAAGGAGGCAGGGGCATTGGTTAGTCCAAAAGGCATGACTGCGAATTCAAAATGCCCATATCTAGAATTGAAAGCAGTTTTTGGTATGTCCTCCTTCCTAATTGACAATTGGTAATACCCCTGTCGAAGATCTAATTTCGAAAAGACCACTGCTCATTGCAACTGGTCAAACAACTCATCAATATGGGGCAGTGGATATTTATTTTTAACCGTTACATTATTCAGCCCCCGATAGTCTATACACATCCGCAAACCCCCATCCTTTTTCTTTACAAACAACACAGGGGCTCCCCAAGGAGACCCACTCTCTCGAATGAACCCCCACTCCAAAAGATCTTGTAACTGAAATTTCAGCTCCTTAAGCTCAGCAAGTGCCATCCGATACGGGGTTTTAAAGATAGGTGACGTTCCCGGTAACAGATCAATTTTGAATTCTATCTCTCTCTCCGGAGGTAGGGCTACTAACTCATCAGAAAATACGTCTACGTGCACATCCTCTACCTTCAATTTATCTGTGGGGGTATTGATTAGAAAGGCTAAGAACCCTTGCGCCCCTTTACTTAGCAATTTTCTAGCCCGAATACCCGAGATAAAGGCAGATGAGACTAACCTACCCCTTATATCTAACCTTAAGGTCGTCTCCCCAGGAATGCGGAATTCTACTACCTTCTTCTTACAATCAAGTTGAGCATTATACCTGACTAACTAGTTCATGCCTAAAATTACGTCATACCCCTTAATGGACAGGCTTATCAAATCCCCTAACTTTCTCTCTCCTACCCAAACTTCGCAATCGATGATCCCCTGTAGGAGTACTAACTTCCAGGTCATAGGGTAAACTAGCAGGTTTTATATCTATTCCGCACATAAAATTGGGGTTAAGAAATGAATGAGTAGCACCGGGATCTACTAAGACTTTCGCAAATCGGTGGAATACAGGAATCGTACCTTTCACAACTTCAGAAGAATCGGGGACCTGTTGTGGCTCCAGTGAATACACTCGAGCCGCTACCTTGGGTTTGGTCCCTTCCACCTTAGCCGGTTCGGAATTGGTCCTCGTCGATTGCTGGCTTCCCCTTCCATCTCGTGATAGAACCGGACAAGTGGCAAGCTGGTGGTCTACACTTCCGCAGCGCAAACACTTTCCCTCCTTCTTCCAGCAATTGTCCTCCGCGTGGTTTGGCTTCCCGCAATACCCGCAGGGTCCGCGAGACACAGAAGCCGAGTCTCTTTGGAAACCTCCTCTTTGGCCTCTCCCAATTTGGCCACCTCGTGACGTTCCCGGCATCCTTCCTCTTCCAGTTCCCCGTCCAAACTTGGGAGGGGTACTCTTATCCCCCTGCCCCGAACCGCTTCCAGGAAATCCTCACTTTTTAGCCTGGAAGTTTCTTACTTGTAGCCGTGCATTCTCTACTTGTTGAGCCATCTCCACTGCATCACTGAAGGCGTTAATCTGGGCTACAGCTAGATCCTTCTGGATCTCCATGTTCAGGCCCTGGACAAAGCGCCTTATTCTTCGTTGTTCGGTCATGATGAGTTCAGGTGCAAATTTGGATAGTGTCGTAAATTGGCTCTCGTACTCGGCGACAATCTGGGTCCCTTGGCGAAGCCGGATAAATTCGTCTTCCTTCCGTTCTTGAACTAGAGGAGGAAAGAATTTGCCGTTGAACTCCCTCATGAAGTTCACCCATGTCCTGGGCGTTTGTTCTCGGTCCCATTTCTGTCTTATTACGTTCCACCAGGAACGGGCTGCCCCTTCCAGTTGGAAGACAGGAAAAGTCACCTGCCTCTCTTCCGTATGGTGTAGGGCATCAAAGATGTCTACCATCTTTTCTAGCCATCTTTCGGCTACATCCGGATCGGGCCCCCCAATAAACTTCGGTGGGGAAAACTTCTGAAACCTTTCGAGGGCCCTGTCTTCGCTTTCCACGTGGTTACTAGGGTTTCCAGGGTTGGGATTAGGGTTTGGACCTTGTTGCTCCACCACATGAGCCAAAAAGTCGGTCATTCAATGAATGGCTGCGGCCACTTGCACATTCGGATCAACCCTAAGTTCAGGGTTCGGTTCGGACGTGGTTCCCCTAGTACCCCCTTCAGTCGTGGGTTGCCTAACTCCGCGATCACGACCACGCCCACTACGGGTGCCTTCCATGGAGTTTAGTCGATCTAGGGTAAAACGTAAATAGAACATTAAAGGTAACGGTATACGTAAGTAAGGAGCCAAAGATATTCACAATCAGAACATATATATATCACACAACAGTGTCAAACAAGTCACACATTAACAGTCAGGTGAATACAAACAAAGAAATTCCATGAGTTAACGACGTCATCAAAAGTTATATATACAAAGCTAGTCCAAACGTACAAAAACGGCTAGCTAAAGGTTCTTTCCCTGATCTACTGTCCCCATGGAATCAAAAGTAGTTCAAAAGAGTTCTAGCCTAGTTCCCTACGGAAGCCACGGACTCTCCCCCTTGCCTAGAACTAGGGGTACTCCCTTCTCCAGGTGTATTGTCACTAGGAGCCTCCACTTGCGCGTTGGTGCCAATCACACCTTGGATTAGCGCCTCGCACTCATTAATAATGCCGCCGGAACGGTCTCTAACCTCCCGGACGACATTAGTCAGACGATGGTTGACCTCCTGCAACTGCTCTTTAAGAGCATTAGTTCGTTCTTGCTCCATAGCTATATCCTCTCGGAGCTTCCCTATCCGGTCCGTTTGCATCCTCAGGACGCCTCTCAGCTTAAGCATCTCCACGTGATCCCTAGCGACGGCTCGTCTAAGCCTCCTCCATTCGCCTAGCACCGCCACAACCACATGATCGACGTAGAAGTGGTTCCGGCAACGGTTACAATGACAAGCCCGACTTGCGGTATACCAAAGCCGGATCGGACCTCCCGGCCTTTCTTGATAGTCGATAACGCGAGGGCGTCGCTGAGGCGGTTCACCCCCGCCCTCTCCACTTGCTCCAGCCATGGCCTACAAGAATAGCAAAAGGGTTCATATCTTAGACAACGTAAGCATAATCACACTTAACGGTACCTTAACACTTCCCTCACAGGTCCTAAGGAACAAAATTCACACTTGCCTAAGTCATTCCTAACCTAGACTCTGATACCATCTGTGACAGCCCCATCTTCCCCTAAGGCGTACCAAAGGGGTTAGCGGACTGCCTGCCCAACTCTCGCCAGGACTACTAAGACAGTTATATATAATCGAAAATGTTCCAGAAGATATTAGCGCGCTCAAACGATTCAAAATTCGCGAAACGAAAAATAGGAAATCGGAGCAGTACATGAATAGTGCCGGCCACGTCACAATCCGGCCGGATTCTTGGCCGGATTGGAGGCAGTGACCAACTGCTCGGATTCAAAAATTTCCAAGACAATCCAGCCAGCAATCCGGCCAAGATCTGGCCGGATTCCCCTGTGCCTTTCCCGCCAAAAATTTTTCTTTTGTCATTCAAAATCCGATCCTGTCCGAAACCTAACCGATTACTAACAAATCATATAACCCTTGAAATTGAACCTTTACAAACCAAAATAACACATGAGCATTACCAAACACGTTTATACACGTATAGTTGCCAATTTACAACTCAAAAGGAAAGGTTGAATCAAAATACACTTAAGGTTTTCCAACCATCGAGGAGCTATACAAAAGAATATTAATCTAGCTCAACTTGGCTTCAAAATCACAGTTTCCCAAAAGGTATTCATCTCCCTGTAAGGAAAACAAAGGAAAATAAAGGCAATAGAGTGAGTTTTTGCCCAATGAGATACCATCACCCACGTAACGAAGTTCATATAAGGACCAAGCCACTCAATCCCAATACATTCAATAAGTAAGTCAACTAACACCACAATTTAATAAAGATTTTTTAAAAGGATACGGACGGCTCTCAAGAGCCCTTTTCCTCGTTTGCCGTACTTGATCTCACCCCGTTGACCCTCCATCAATGCCTAAGAAGTAACCAATACCGTAGACTCCACTTTCTCCAATTTCATTCCACCTCATATACCCTTACCGGGCCCGAACTCCAACCACTTGAAAATGGTAATACTCGAGTATACCGGAATCAAGAGTCTCATACCCAATGATTCCATAGAAACAGTCCCCATGACTTGTCAATCTCCTCGACCATGCCCTTGCTGGCTCAAGTCAATCGACCACCGATGGAGTTGAGCACAAAGTCAACAGTAAAAGTCGTTGGATACACGTCCAAACGACACCAAATGAAATATATTCAAGAGACATTCAATTGATACCGTAAACAGTCATATAAGCCATAGAGTGCGAGAGTGATAAAGTACACCCTCGTCTCAACCAATCTTAGCAGTATACACAAGCATTCAAATCATAGATTTCAAGTATAGCAAAGCCATGAAGTAACAATCATGTGAGTAGTATACTCACCAATCAACAAAGAATGTTTTCACAAATTTCAACCCAACGAGCGCCTTGAGTCACCGGCACGCCCTTAAACATTCAAGAAAACACAATGAGACTCGAATACGAGTCATAACCCAAACCACATATCACTAACGTAAAGCCAAAATAACTTGAAAGTAATACAAAAACACTTGGTGCTAAAAGTTTAGATAACCCCAAAGTCACTAACTAACACTCTAAGCAACCCAATTGCAAGAAATCATATGGACCAAAAATTTGGACAGCATTTCCCTTTAAAATTTCAGATTTCCATCCTACAATTCATCCTTCATTTTCAACCAACACAACCACAACTACAAGTACAAGTCCTGTGCCATTCAATACACCTTATTAGGGTTACAATACCTTTTAAACAAAGCCAATTCAAGAGTTCCATAATAACCCTAGAAAAGCCCCAATTCAAAACCCTAAATCTGAAATTTGCCGCACAAAGCAGAAATTTTCCGCAAATAACTACAATTAACACACCAAAGCACCACCTTAGACCATACCAAGCCATCATCCATGGCCAACCATCACTTATCATATAAAATCAGAAAAATCATGAATAAAATCAGAAATTTTACAAACTCCACTTAAAATCACCAAATCTTCCACAAAACAACATTTTTAGCTACCACAAGTCATCAATAAGCCATTATTAGAAACAACAATGAAGTTTTACACACCATACCTTGATACCTCAAGAAAGGTAGTAGCTTAGGTCTCTTTCTTCCAACACAACTCCACCAACTTCTAATATCCTACCTAGAAAAGGATTTTTATGGAGTAAATTTGGGATTCTATGGTTGGATCACAAGATTGAGCAAGATTGGAAAGAAATAAGTTGAAGGCTTTCTTCTTTTCTCTCCCTAAGAGATTCGGCCAAAATTCTTGAAATGAAGATGATTTTTGGGTCAATTTTTGGTTATTTGGTAAAGGTTGTGAGATGGTCAAAGTCCAAGCTCCAATAAGAAAGTGACACCTAGCACCTTTTAAGCTTAAACTTATCATCTTGTCTCTCCAATACTAATCCATCTAGGTAACCTCTAATTACCTCTTAACTCCTATTAACTTAATCCCTGTATACAAAACTTAACCTAATGGGCCGAATTTTATCGCACTTACCGCACTAGTGGGTCCCACGTCCGGTATGCACTCCTAATTCCTCATGAACTAACTTATACTAGAAAAATGATTTAAAAACTATATTTACTCATAAAAGTTATCTAGAAAATTTTTCTAATAAAGAAAATATAGAAAAGGCATGCAATTAATTCTTTTGAGCGTTTGGTAAGGTTTCCATTTGTTCCGGATCCGTAGTCCCGGCGAGAGCTGGGCAGGCGGTTCGCCGAATCCTTTGGTTCGCCTTAGGGTGAGGTGGGACTGTCACATAACTTCAAAAGTTTCCTCCCAAGGAATGCCCTTGGCCACCGACACGTCCTAAGAACAACCAAGAAACAATTGAGACTCGATTCCGAGTCGTACCTATCCAATAACTACTAATGCAAGGCAAAATAGAACTTGGAAGCGAAAATAAGTAACAATTGGTGCCAAGGGTATAAACGACCCCAAAACCTTTCATTTCTACTCAAAATCAACCCAACTCAAAGGAATCACGTAGCCCTAAAATTTTGGACAGCATGCCCTTTGTATTTCGATATATTCCAGCCATTTATGGCTTCATTTTTTTTTTCTCAACTCAGCCCAATTCAACACATAAGTAAACTTAACACAATGGCTCCTCAACTAGGCTCAAAGTCATCCACATACAAGTCAATTCTAGCAATGCATCCATCAAAATCAAAGCGGGAAACCAGTTTTAAAGACGAATGGCTAAGAAGCAGGTTTGACATCTTCCGGCGTTTTGGTCGCATTTGAAGCTTAAAGAACAACAATGCTGAGAGAATTCTTCTTTATACCAAGTCCCTTGGTGATTTTTATCCTATCCGAAGTAACTATATCCCATCTTTGCCTATGGCCTTTGTTGTCCATGTTGTATTAGTTGATTTGTGGCATTCTCGTTTATGTGACGCTAACTCACAGATGATCTCCTATATTGGTTCCACTATTGTTGTTCAAGCTACTACATGTACATTTAGCCCTTTTTTTTCAGTTTTTACCATTTAAGGATATTGCTCATAGATCAACTCAACCATTATACTAAATTTATTCAGAGAGTTGATCTTCTCTAGTAGACTTCAATTCTAGTTCAAAATTTAGAGAGTTGGTCTTCTCTAGTAGACTTCAATTCTAGTTCTAACTACTATGTGCTATTTGTGGATGATTTTATGCACTTATCTTGGGTTTATCCAATGCAATATAAATCTATGGTCTTTAATCATTTTTGTACCTTCAAAAGGTATTGTTAAAAGTATCTTCTCAAATAAAATAAAAATTCTACAAAGTGATAGGGGTCATTAATATGATAATAATCCTTTTAAGCAATTTCTCAATGACCATTTAACTGCTCACATACCTATTTGTACAATATTTACAATTTATCTGTGACGCCCCCACTTCTCCCTAAGGCGAACCAAAGGGTATCCGCGGGACGCCTTCCCAACTCTCG